CAAGACCAACACTTCCATAAAGGGCCTATGACTCCCAGCATCTGCACTCCTGACACAAGAATCATCCAATATTGTTAGTTAACTCTCATATTTAGGTTTTATCACTAAACATACTACAAGCTCTCAAAAAATGTTTGATAATGGCCTCTGCTCTCCGTGTAGCCTAAGTGGAGGAAAGGACATTACATAAACTACCAAGGGAAGGCAGGGCAACAGCCCACCCCATGGCCCCAGCTACAGGCAGTCAGATATGCTGGTAAGTGGGGAACAACTTCCGGAAAATGTGGGAATTCTGAGGATTACCAGGATGGCCGGGAAAGGCTCACTAGGCTTACAGGCCACCTGAGAAAAGGGAGCAGAAAGCAAAGGGAATCAGAGCTAGGCATACACAAGACAGTAAAGTCAGGAAGAAGGGCGGGGGTAGGACACTGCTCTAGGCTTGCCTGGGATCCTACAGAGGCCAAAGGCCATGAGTTGCTTACACATGCTCCACCAAGCCACTACGAGTTATGGGTTAATGTGGGTCCCAGAGTCAGATCCTGAGATGAGGCTTCCTACCCAAAAGATTTGTTAGGCAGTGTTCCTAGGAAAGGCTAGTAGAGGAGTTGGGAAGTGAGACAAGGAAAGGAAGCCAAGCAAGACACTGAAGAATGCCCCAAGCACAGTAACTCCAGCTTGGACTTGCAGAATTGCACAACCTGCAGATCATGCTTTAGAGTTGCCCCATTCCCAAGGCTGGGGGATAGGAAGCTCATATTGTAACACTCCAGTTGTTTATGGACTTCTCCCTTTGCAGAGGATGTAAACTCCCAGACTACCTGTGCACGAAGATGGGAAGTACTCACAAAGTGACTCAGAGCTGGTACTGACAGTAACTGCCAAGGCAGTGTGAGAGAACAGAGTAAAGGGGAGACAAAGGGACAGTAACAGCATCCGCTGCCATGGCTTGCTAAGTCTTTAACCCTGTGGAGGTCACAGGGAAGGTGTTATCTCTTTTGTTTGTTTGTTTGTTTTGTTTTTGTTTGTTTGTTTTGTTTTGTTTTTGTTTTGTTTTTTTGGTTTTTCTCCGGTACCAGGAACCGAACTCACGACCTTGCGCTTGTCAGGCAGGTGCTTTTGCCGCTGAGCTAAATCCCCAGCCCCTACCTCTTAACAATATACAGTTACAAGAGTTTATTTGCATTTCTCGGATTAGCTGCATCCTCCAAAGGGTTAACACCACCACCACTTTTCCAAATAAAGGGCATCACTCAGAAGCCAACAATCAAAGACTGAATCATCAGTCCCTCCAAAGGTGAGGGTACATACAGAGGGAAGAGGTGGCTCCTGCTGCCTCAGAGACTGACAGCTGGGGAAAACCTACTTACCTGAGTCATGAGTGACGGAAAATTAGACGACACCTAATTTTACAGGGCTCCTGCTTTTCAAAGGATTGGTACCCAAATCAACACCCTTGATAAAGGCCTGTGTTCAAACCTGCCATATATAGGATGTGCCCACCAGTAAAGTAACCTCCTAGCAGCACTCAAAACTCCACTGTGGAGACTGCAGTCGGGGTGAGGATGGAAGGGGAGCAGCTCAGTAGACAGTGCTTATCTAGTATATATGTGCAAGGCCTGGGGTTTGATCCTCAATGCATGTGTGTGTGTGCATGCGTGCACACACACACACACACACAAAATGAACAACACTACTTGGACACTAGACACCACCTATATCAGTTAAAAGCCAAGCAGGAAAAAAGATTGTATGAAGGCACTGGTTTTAGTCTGATGACTTCCCAGTTGCTGCTGGCTAGAATCAAAGCAGCATACTGAAAATGTCAGTCTTTGAAATAGCAGTGTTTAAATTTTTCATTCAGAATAATCCTTTACAGAGTTACATTATTCAACCTGCGAGAGGTTATATATTTTCTTTTTTAAAAATCAGGTTACTCGTTCTCGGCAAACACTACAATCAAATTATATTCAAGCTAGCACATGCTTGGCTTCTTCCCAGGACGTGCACAAATCAAGCCCACTCTATGCTTGCTGGTGGGGTGAAAGCCAAGCACTCACACTTGCCACATATATGCCACTTGTGACAACAAGGTGCATCTCAGCTCCACCTTTCTGTGAGAATGAATGAGGTCAACCCACCCTGACATCACCCTGAGAGTGTCTGGCACCGACTCTGACTTTCTTTCTCTGTCCTCACTACAAAGAAAGTAATTTCTCTGAGGTGAGATGCTAGGTCTTGTGAAAACAGAAGTCTCTTTGTTAATGGGAAGTGCCCTTTGCCAGTGACAAAAATGAATGTCCCTCCCAAAAGTCACATAACATATGAGCCTGCGATTGAAAAGAGTACATTGAGAAGATCAAGAAAACAGTAAAGTAGAGGGACAGAAAAATGTCTTTTCTTGGGTAACTAAAAAGACATTAATATAGTAATCTCTTATCTGGAAGAACTTAATATAGTATATTTAAATGTTCACACTCCAATAATATCATCCAAATACATCTTTTAAACAAAAAGTATGATCAATAAAAAGCTCTGAAATTTCCATTCCCCAAGCCCTTATAAATTTTGCTGGCATAATGGGTAATTTCCATCATATATAATATATTGAAGTGCATGCCTGGACCCAGTGTTCCTCACATTAGAACACCTCCTTAGCAGGTTAAAAATAAAAGGGAACGTTGGTTATTTCAGTAATACACTGAAATGAACAAATCATCTCCAAGAAACAAAGTGAATCTGAATAGCAGGCACAATTCTCTTTATAATTTATGAATCATACACATATTGATAATCCAGCCTGGCAAGTGGGGTTATAATAGTTAGGAAAGAATAGTATTGTTTCTCATAGTAAGGTGTAAGTGTGCTTAAATTAACGCTGCCAGAAAGAACAACAACTGCTCAAAACACAAGCCTAGAACCCCTTTTTTTGTTTAGATAAAAACAATCTCAACTTTTGACTCAAAGACTGAAAAGTGATTAAGAACTACAAACCCCGTAACAGGATAAGGTACAGCCCTAGGGAGGAACTCTCATATTCACTTTGGTTTAATTATGCCAAACCAAAGAAGTTACTTCTCAACGTGTTAGGTAGCCTTCTGAGACTTTTCCTGGTGACACCAGTTTTATCTATGTTTACAAAACGCAAGAAAAACTATGCTGAAACTCCCACTAATTCATCATTCCTAACAGTTAATACGCAATAATTTGTTTCTAACTAAAAAGCAAATTGAGCGTTTCCCCTTGAAAGTGTCCTATCTTTAAAAGCAATCCAATGTGTTATTTTTCAAAAACCTAGGGCTCCACAAAACAAGACGTATTCAATACTCCGTTAGCTTCATACAGCATGTGGCAACTAAATATTGTGTGCTACACGACTGTACAACACGCCGAACTTATTAAGTTCTCGTTTTCCTTAGGAACACACTTGCATCTCTGTGCACTTGGACAGAACACAGCTCCAGCTTTCAACACTCGGGTTCAGGTATTCTCCCCCTTCCTTCACTGGTTTCCGGCCTCCGTACCCAGTTCCTGATAATCCGATTCAGGGAAAGAACTGCAAGCGGTAGCTTCGAGGACTTCCCACACCTCCACAGGTAACAGGGGAAGCGCGCTTTCCCAAAGTCAGCCTTGCCTGAGTTCACCCGGCGCACGGCACCTCCTCCATTTCTCTCGCTGAGTCCTCCCTCTCCGTGACAGCTACGGGGGAGGGGGTGTCTGATGTGTCCAAAGGTGGTCTCCGAAGCAGCTGAGACCCTGCCCGCCACATGACAGCCTCCTGGACCACTTTATGAATGTCAACCCTTGCTGGTCCCGTCCCTCTCCGAGAGAAAGGGAAAAATTTCTAAATTCCTGAAACGAAGAAGGGCGGGCAGCCCGACGTGCCGAAGAGCTCCCCCAAGCGCTGGACAGCAGCGCGCGGTCGGCAGGTGAGGACGCGGAAGTAGCTCTTCCCACGCCGCCCGGACCTGTGGGCCCGGCCGGCGGCGCAGGACCCGCTCGCGCACCCACACCTCGCGCGCACCCACACCTCGCGCGCACCCTGCACGCACCGAGCCTTCTCCCGGGAGGCCGGCGCGCGAGGCGCTGTCCCACGTGTCCTCGCCACCAGCAAAGACGAACGGGGAGACCAGGCATCGGGACATCCGAAACTTAAAGTGGACGCGGGGCAGGGGCTTAAAGGCCCTCACCCGCTCAGCGCCGGCGCCCGGGAGAGCAGCCCGCCGCGGAACCCAGGCGTCCCCGCGCGGGCCGCACCTGCTCCCAGTTCGGAGCCCCGAGCGCCCACGCTGACCTTGAAGACATCCCGAAAACCCACCTGCCGCCGCCTGGCTCGAGGCTGTCCTCCCACCCGCTCTGTGCCCACCCGGGGGGGGGGCGCCTCAAAACGCCCATCACCAGCAAATTAAGAATGCGCCTCCCCAGAGACCCCTGGAGCACCTCCCGGCTCAGCGCTTGCACCCCGCCTCGGGCCGCCGCACCCCCCACACCAGCCCTGCCCCGGCCGAGTTCAGGGTCCGCCCGGGTGGCGACGCGGAGGAAAGGAAGCTGCGGGGCGCCGCGGACACCCGGGCAGGGTCCCCGAGCGAGGACGGCGGCGACGCGCCGGCTGCCACCTGGGTTCTGACCCCGGCCCCGGCCCCCGCTG